TGTTTTTTGATAAGTATCGCTCATTCACATTAATAATTATGCGATATTAATATATATTTTTCCAGTTAGGATGTTCAGCTCGTACTGTGCGCAGAAAGTTCAAATCAGTATTAAAGCCAGTGGCGCCAATTTCAGTGTTTAAATAGGGGTGCCAAAATTTAAGCAAGCCAATTTTTTTTTTAGCAGGCCACTTTTTCTTCAAAATAGTACCTAAATACAGATATCGTTTGTATGTACCTAAGTCGCTTTTATAGGGTTAAACTCTTGAAGGATATATTTAAATTAATTCAAATTATTTATTAATAATTTGTTTGTCTTTTGATATATACCTAAAAATATTTAGTATGTAACGGAGTACTACATAAAATGGTGCTTTTCAGGACCATCAATAACAAAGAACAACACCATAAATGATAGGTAGTATCACCCAGTATGACGAGTGAAAACCGCACCGAGCCAATGTCAACCACCAGGCAAAGGCAATCAATTAGAGACGACGACGGTGGACGAGAGGGTATATATACCGGTGCAGTTCACTGTACGATCATCAGTCATTCATCATCACCATACAACGTCTAACGTCCGTGTCAGCTACACTGCAGTTTCTTCAGTCTACGCAGCTCCCGTCTCGACCCTCAACTGGCAACAGCGCCAACGAAAACAGTCGTTCTTACGACTCTGCAACAGGGCACCAGCGCCCGGATTGTCCAAGCCATCCACCTCAACCATCAACAGGCAACAGCGCCAATCAAAACAGTCGTTTTCACGACTTTCCAACAAGGCACAAGCGTCCACTCCACAGCTCGTCAATCAGTAATCAGCCGTTTTAACGGCTAAAAGCCAACGACAGCGCCTACGATCGTCGGAGCGCCAGCGCCTGAAGCCTCAGGTAATCCGTCGCGAAAGCGCCGGCAATCTCCATCCGATCAACTGTCGTGGGGCTGCGCCCTCACACTGCCGCAGAACTCCCTACCCAACCAACTCTATCTCCCCCCTCCACCACAATAAAACGTTCTTTTCAGAACGACAGGACTT